GGGGGCTAGGTGGAGCTGGGGAGGCCAGTGGAGGGAAGCAGGGAGCATGGGCTTGGGGGGTAAAGGCAACCTTAAGGACGACTTAAGGCAATGATTGCACTTTTACTTCCTCTTCCTGTCTCATCCGGGTGCAGAGAGCTGGAGGAGGCAGGGGCTGCGAGGGGAGGGGGGGGCGCTTAGGGGGCAAACTCCCTCCCTCCCTTGCTTGTGACACTGCTGCAACCCAGACCCTCCTCTTCCCTTGGCCTTGCTCCTCCCCCAGGGAAACATGGCTGTCGGGTTTCCTTTGCCTTTGGCGGGGGAGGGGATCATGGCTTTCTCTCTCTCTCTCTCTCTGTGTGTGTGTGTGTGTGTGTGTGTGACTAAGGGGGCTGGGGGCTCTGGTCTGCCTGCCCCACTGGCTGAGTCAGGGAGACCGACAGGTTCTCGGCCCCCATGGGGGGGTCAGTACGGAGGGCTAGGCTTGGTGGGGGAGATCTGGCCGGGTCCCTCTGCTGCCTGTGGGGCTGGGCCAGGACTGGCGGGGGGGGGGGGGGGTGGTAGCCGCCCTCTGCCTGGTTCCCCCCCAGCTGCTCTGTCTGATGGACAGTGGGGTCCTTCAGGCTGGGGGGGGCGTCGGGGCAACAAGGCCAATGAGTCCACGATCCTGGCCCTGCCTGGGGCAGCAGCGCTTGGAGCACCATCTGGCCATGCTGGCACCAGGCTGCCTTGGCACACTTGAGCCCGGGCCTTTGAGACGGGCACGCATGCGTCCGCACCAGGGGGTGGCTGCTTGCCCAGGCCAGGAGCAGGAACCGGTCCAGTGCCAGGACGGCTCTTTCGGTTTCAGGGCTCAAGGCAGAATCTCCGGCCTCCTTGAGCCTCAACGCCCCTTTCGGGGGTGCCTGGAAACGTTTCTTGCCAGGCTGGGCTGAGCTGAGCGGCCAGGAGGCTCCCCTCCCTCCCTCTCTCCCTCTGGCCTCCCCCCAGCCCCCCCACCCCGTCCTCCCTGAGGTGGTTGCCCTGCCCGCCCCGGGAGATGCCCAGGCCCCTCAAGGGAGCCCACCTGCCCTGGCTGACCTGGCTCCTTCTTTTGGCAGACTCCTTCTGGCTGTGTAACTCCCTGGAGACTGACTCGGACCTCCCAGCAGGATGGATGCGGGTTCAAGACACGTCCGGCACCTACTACTGGCACATTCCGACGGGCACCACCCAATGGGAGCCCCCCCTGTGCAACGGGAGGGGCGACTCGGCAGGAAACACCCCCACCCGGGAGACCCAGGTGGAAGGCTGGGGGGGGGGTGTTGTCCCCTTTCTGCCCCAAGGCTCCCTCCTCCAATCCCGGCTGGCCGATGGGTTGGGCCAAAAGTCCCAGGGGACAGGGGTGGGTGGGTGGGTGTGGGGGGTGGACTTCCAAGGGAACCAAGGACATACTTGTGGTTTAGCTTCTATGTCTACCCAGGCTGTGTTATTATCGACTGTCAGTAACTCAAGGCAGCCACCAGACCTGATGCTCCTTCCTCCTCTTGTCCCCCCCGCCCCCCCGGGAGGCGCATTGGGAGAGACTGACTGGCCCAGTCGCCCAGCTGGCTCCCGTGCCCGAGGCGGGACTAGAACTCCCCGTCTCCCGGTGTCTAGCCCGGAGCCTTAGCGACTAGACCTAACGAGGGGCTCTGGGTCACAGCTGGAAGGCTACCCCAGGACGGGTGCTGAGGGCTGGGCAGGGCCAGGACTGGGCACCTGGGGCAGGGGGGCAGGCGCTGTCTGCCCTGGGGAAGGGGGGAGGGGCTCCTCCAGCAAGCAGGGCTCCTGTCTCGCTCAGGGCGGGGGAGGGGCCCCTGTGTGAACCCAGCCAGCCAGGCTGCGATGGGAGCCTGTGTTTCCACTCCAAGGGGGGGGGCATTTGCTGGTCCCCCTGCACAGGGGGAGCACCTGAGAAGCTTTCTACTCTGAGCAGCTTTGCTCCGCCAGGCTCCCCCCCCACCCTGGAAGCCTGTCAGGGTCTCCGGCAGCCCCCCCTCCACCCCGGGCAAGCAGGGGTCGGCCATTGGAGGGAGGGCCTGCCTGAAAACCTCCTTCCTGCAGAGTCGCTGTGGCTCCTGGGGGCCTTGAAGGTGGGAGGTGCTCTTCCCACTCCTGGGGGGCTGGGTGGGGGCGCAGCCCCTGTGCTCGTCCACTGCGCCTGGGGAGGCCTGGGCTGGGCATAAGAGGGGCCCCCTCCTGTGGCAGCAACTGTCCACACAGCTCTGCCAGGCATGTTCCTTCTGGCAGGGGACGATGGGTCCAGTTGCCCTGAGGCCAAGGGGAGAGTCTCGGGGGCAGCAGCTGGAGGGGCCGCCTCTCTCCTCTCCTCTCCTCTCCTGGCCGGCCCCAGGGAAGCCCCCACTTCCTCTCTCACTGCACTGAGTCCCATGACCCTGCCTTAGGCCAGTCCCCTTCACTCAGCCCGGCCCACCTCGCAGGGTGGTGCTTGGAGGGAAAATAGGAGGAGGGGGCTGCCAGCATGGCTTTCCTACA